TTATTTACTTTTTTTCAACAAATCACAGCCTCAAACTACAGTAGTTTGCTAGTACTGCTGCTAACACTAGCTAGCTAATGTAGCTTATGTTGCACCCTCTGTAACTGGTAGAAACTAACAGTAACAGAAGATACTAGCATTTATTTACCGTCTCTAAATTAGCTTGTTTGCAGCTAGCTGGTGAGATAGCATTGTCTATAGCTAACCTTCCTGTTTCCTGTATTTTAAAAAAACATTTTGATGGTCCAACTTCTTAATGTTTGAGTTTGTATCGTACAATTAGTGCAGCAGATGAATTACTTTCATAAAAAAGAGAAAAAAGTAACACAAGATAAACTAGTGTTGGTAAAAGCTAGCGAGCCTAGCTTAGCAGAGCAGCAGTAACTATCACCGCTTTTTTTTTTTTTTTCCATTATTTGTACTGGATTATATAAAGGTACGCACCACTTTCTCAGTCTGGTGACATACAAATGTGTTTTTAATGTATTTATTGTTTATTTAATTTTTTTCCCCGTCTCTTATATATGTGTTGTTGAGTTTTACGTAGCATTTTTGGTCCACATACCAGAGGTGGAACCTCCGAGGTGTTATTTTGTCATTTTGTATGTCTTAGCCGAGACTACACCCAATCTGCTATTTTGTAATGCTACCTGTTCCAAAAGATTCGTTTTGATGTCTGTATTTAATTAGGCTGCCTTTAAAGCATACATTTACATTTATTTAATTAAAAATGAACATGTTATCCTACCTCATTAGTTCAAATGAGTAACAAGGCTAAAGCAAGTACATGTTTTCTTAGTAAACACTACTTTTACCAAGGACCCTTTAAAATGAAACACGGAGAGAAGCATTTAAATAATCTTAGAGCAATGTCACTGGTGATAAATAATTAGTCTTAAACAGCTCAATATTAAGGTTTTATGACTGAAAAAAAATCATTTGCACAATTTTCACCTTTCCCCTAGGTACTGCCTTTGCCTTTCAACACCAGCAGGCATTTTCTTTTTGCCTTCAGCCAGTTGTTATATATTATATTTAGACTTCATCTTCACAGAGACAGTTTTTCAGTCGCTCTACGTGCTGCCAGTTGCAGTTTGAAGGTGTTTATGTCACCAAAAGCCTTTCTATTCTTAAGTGTTTCTTCAAGATATCAAATCACTAACAGGTTTTGTTTTTTTGCTTTTATACTTCTTTACGATTTGCAGAGAATAAAATTGCAGAGTTGATCCATAATTGAATTGTGCCTGCTGTTAACGACAATGTGATGATTTCAAGTCAATCTTAAAAAAAATCCAGTGTCAAAGTATTGCTGATAATTAAGCCTTTTGTCTTCTCTATGTCCTGTCACAGGAAATGAAAAAAAAAGAAAAAGTAAACAAATGCTTTCTGATCTACATCTTTACATTACAATATTCTCTTTACAGCACCTGTACAGAGAGCCCAGTCCAGCTTGTTGCTTGGGGGAGCTCCAGCATCTAATGAGTAAGCAGGGCTTTGTTTCCCATATCACTGCAACACTAACGTGCCAACCAGCTGATACCTTTGGTTCTAAAATGGTCTTTAGAATCAGGAATCACACTTCATTTCCAGACCAAAACATTAAATAAGGCAGTCTTCTGTCTAAGCTGTTTTGTGATCATAGCCCTGATGAGGAAAAGCCTTGCAACATAATTTTAGGTCTCTACTGGTTTAGAGAGTTTTGGGATTTTGTCCAGGACAACTTTGTCTGGCTTGGCTCAGGATGTGACTCCCCACCTCCACAAACACCCCAGCCCCATATTCTAATCCTTATTACAGTTAAGCTGATTATTTTGCAATGAAGTCCTATCAGAGTTTATGGTAAGCCCTTAACCTGAACTGATTCTAATGATGTGTTTCTAACAGTCCAAACAACTATTCATGTGTTTCACCGTTCTGACCCTGGGTTTACATGGCCGATAGGGTCCTCCCAAAGTTTATTTCTTTACAATTGAATGGGTTGATTTTAAAAACTGTTGTTTTCTTTTCTGCTTTAAAAACAACATTCCCTACAAAGGAACAATCTCATTGTACTCATTCCTCTCCCCTCTAGCTCCTGCCAACATCAGCACTCCCTCCAGTCCAGCCATGTTGGAGCCAAGCCCTGCGCAGCCCTTGAGCCCTCCTCCAGCCAGGTCCTGGCACATCATGGCATCATGGGAAGACACAATAATCCCGCTACCTGCAGATGTGGAGGTGGTGCTCTCCTCCCCTCTCCTCGGTTGCTCCGGTGTTGGAGCAGGCGCTCTAATCCCACTACTTCCAGCACCGAAGCTACCTCCAGCACCAACACCACCGCTTCGCCTTTTTGGCGGCGGACCCCAGAGGAAGGCGTGGGCAGGCCTGTAGTGCTGGCGGGCGTAGCGGAGCAGGCGTCGGCGTGTGGCAGGCAGGCGGATGGTGTAGACGTAGTACTCCAGGACGCTGTGCTGCATGTTGGGGAGGGTGCTGTGGCACAGGGACTCCTCCAGGAAGAGGCGGACCAGTGGAGCTTTGAAGGCCTCATAGCCGAGCTCGCCCAGGGACTTCAGGATGCGAGTGATCCGCAGGTAGTTGTGGTGGGATCTTCAAAGAACAAAGAGACGGTAAAAAGGTTTTTGGAACTGACAAAGAGAGTCCTGATGAATCAGAATGATCTGCTGTGTGAAGCAGGGATTTTTCCAAGAATACATTTTGACAGGTCTTAATAGGAGAAGCAGTGGTGGGATGTTCAACATGCTAGCACACTGTCACATCATCATGAGTAACCGGGACACCTGGACAGGACAGAGCCCTCCTTAATATTAACAAATCCAAATGTCTGCTGTGATAAAAGGACTTTTACAGTTTAAATACCCATTCATTACTTTATCTATGTTGCTTATCATGTGGTGGGTTCCAGAGGCCTGGAGTCCATACCAGGCTGTTTACACATTTAGTAGCTAAACTAGATATGTATTGCAGATATCTGTAATTCAATTCTTCGTAGTCAAAAAGAACATTTCAGATGTCATGACTCTTCCTGGGACAAAGGACTCGACTTTTATCATTCATGAGTGAAGGGTTTCTCAGTACAGATATCTCCACATATTATTATGATATTTGTAAATCCACTTTCAGATGTCTGCAGTTTAATTCTGATATTCTAGTTTAGGACGTCTTTAATTCCCCTCAATTCAAGCTATCTACATTAAACTTTTTAGATATCTTAAGTTCAGTTCAGACTACCCAGAATGACTGTTTAGATATCTCAATTTTTTCCAGTCAGAGTTACATATATCCTGAATTAGAATTTGACTCAGCAAAATGATTATTGCACTTATCTGTAGTGATAAGTCTGAAGCAAGCAGAAGGTGGAGGCTGGGATGGCTGGCTTTGCAAACATACTATAGTAACGCAACCGTAATCACACATAAGAAGGCATTTTACTGCCATTTAAGAGCAGCCTGAGACCAAAGCTAGACTAGACACTGTTGGTACGATTACTCATAAGGACGTTGTTGATATCTGTAAATTCCAGACAGCCAAGCTCAACTATTACATGTAAAGCCTACCACAAAGTGACATGTGGACAGGTCACCAGTCGGTCACAGGGCTGACACACATGGAAAGACAGACAGTCCCACATCTACTGGCAACTTTTACAGGTGTTATCAGTCACATATGTTGTTGTTCTGACTTAAACTAGAACATACTGCATGTGAAAATGGAGCAACCCAAGCAGTGTTTGGCCTTTGGGCCGAGTGGAAGTGAAGGCCTTTAACAATACAGGAGACCTGTTCCTTAATTATTGCTTCAGATGGTTACTTGTCCTGAGAGGGATCTAGAAACCAGATGCAGGGGTTTTTCCTGCATTTTTAATGGGAAATTAAAACCAAGAGAAGGAAATTAAACTGTACTGAGCAGCTGTTTAATGATGGAGAATTTGTCTGTTTTTCATGTGGTTGGGAATTAACAGCAACAATTACCATAAGGCACTCAGGTTTAGGGGAGGTTTGTGACTTGAGGAGGCTGCAGTAACAGTATTGAGACCGTGCTGGGTACAAGGAGAAACACATACTTCTGTACAAACTGTAAGATGAGGCATTCACGTGGCTCTCTGGCAAGAAAACGCAATGACTTATCTCAGGCTAAGAAACCATCAAAAAAAAGGATGTGAAAGAAAAAAAAATCTTCCTCTGAATTACCCTTTAACCATCTGTTTGCTGGCTTGTTTCACATTTAGCTGCTGATGGAGGAACAATTAGGTTGCACAGGATTTAGAATGATTGCCTTGCTAAAGGACTCAAATACAGCAATTGGCAACCAAGCGATAAGTTCACAAATTCTGGATGCAATTTTATACCCAGAAGCTGCTGCTGCACAATGTGGTTTTATGTGTGAGTGTGTGTGTGTGTGTGTGTGTGTGTACTTACTCATTAAGGTGCTGGAAGCGCTCCTGCCAGTTGGGAGCCCGAGCAACATTACCACTCTTATCCAGCAGTTTGACGCCATAGAAGTCCAACATCAGGGAGTATGCCGCCAGAAATCTCCGCTTTGCTTCCCGAGTGCTTTGGAATTCCTGACAAGGTTCAACACAACACATCAGAAACCGACAGACAGACACCGCACAACAGCATCTTTCTGCTTGGGTAATCAGATGGTAATCAGATGGAACAGAGGGATATTAAAACTATGTGTAAACACACTCTACTCTCACCCAAACCACATCTGATTGTGGTTTTGCAGACACATCGACACCTAGTAACAATGGGATCATAGATGAACCACAGAAAAACGCCATTTTCAGCTGATCAAATACATTTGGGACGTAAACACTCGAGTAGGGAAACTCCCGCAGACATCAATATTGCTCAGACTGATGTGAAATTTATTCACAGCCAAAGCACGATGAGTATTTCCCAGAGCACTTCTTTCAGAACAGCAAGTTTGTTTCTGTGACTATTTGAGTGATTTGTGTAAAGGGGAAGGAACAACTGTCATCTTGCATACGACAACTGTCATTTCACTCAAGCACGATAAACACTTCGGCAATGAGGAAGCGCAGACAAATCGTACTTTAACAAAAACCTTGTGCCTGGATGCAGACACTGTGTATTCTGTCCATCAGGGTGTTTTCCCTGTGAGGGGGTTTGGTTACACTGAGCTGAGCTGTTTGGTTAGTGGTAAGTGTTTTTCCACTGTACTGCACCAAAAGGTACTACAGTCTACCTGAACTGTTAGCAATGCTGCTAACTGTGGTAAACACGTTGCATGTACTGTACTTAATTTGCAATAAAAGCATCCCATCATTTCACCAGTGGAAAGCTTTTAGTGCGAGGCAGGAAATATTTTAAGCTCAGTTCTAATAAAGCCACGAGTAAATGGTAAAATAAGGCTTAACTCTGAATGTACCCAAGGACACAGAAGTGAAAATGAACTCCAGGCGACTTTATATTTAGATAGAAGCTGCAAAAGCACTGAAATCCGAAAACAGAAAGCCCTTCCAAACAGACATCTCTGTACTCTGCAGCAGAGTTTGGCACCGAGGACAGCGGAGGAGAGGAGACCAGCGTGGGTTGGCCATGGTCAGCACTGCTACCTAGCAGGACCACAGCAGCACAGCGTGGCGCTGCTATCCCCTGCTGCGAGACTGCAGGTGAAAGGCATGTCGTCATGTCTTAATGCAGCACAGCGCCTGCCAACCAAGGCCGACCCAAGCTACGGTAAAAAAAGCCCTATATGTTACTTACTTTAATCTCATCCTGAGTCAGTTCATCTGCGTAGAAGTTGAGCCCTTGTTCTCTTAATGGGAACAGCCTGGCACACAAAGAGAGCAAGAAAGAAACACAAGATCTATTGAAAATCGACTGCTAGATGAGACAAAAACACATTTGCTAATTGTTATGCAGCTGTTATTGCAGCTCACAGTGTAAAGTACAAAAAGAAGACGATGCTTTTCCCGAACAGTGACGTGGAGAATGTGGATTTCTCCACGTCACAGCCATGTGTAAGGGGCTGTAAGAAGAGAGACACTCTGCACCTTATTATCTACAGTAGTAAAGAAGGTTTTGTTTGGCTACATGAGCTTATGGGTTTCCAAGTTACACTTCTCTGCAAATGTATTTTCTCACTGTGTGAAGGCAGGTCCTGCTCTTAAAGCATCAGGGCTTAAGCTAATGATAGCACCTTAGTCCTGCTATTTATTAGTTTAGATTTACATATTAGGATGATTAAGCCCTACACTGCAACACACTGACAAAGCAATTTATTTCCATGTCACGAATAACTTCACAGATTTGGATAGACAACAGTTTGCAAAGTGGCATCACACATAACCTTACAGACTGTTGTAGACAAGCTATGAACTGGCCTTAATTTAAAAGATGCTTCAAAAAGAGTCAGCTGGAAACATTAAAAAGTCACAAAGAGACATATATGTGGTCTGTGAGGACACAAACTTCATGGGAATAGCAGCAGAAAGTAAAACGGAGCATAAATATAACGGATGCCGCTCAGTGGACAGTCGATTACAAATTCATTCTACGCAGTGCCCTCGCTTTATTTCTGTTGGCATTTGCTTGACAACTGGACAGAAAAAATAAGCTTTGACGCGTCAGTTGCTGTGGCTTCTACTGTGCCACGAACAATCTTGCTGCACATGAACATCCAAACAGACTGCTGAAATGTCTCACCACTGAATGTAGGTGTGATTGTGCTCCAGTTTGTCATAGTCGCCTCTCCACTTAGAAAGAATCTCCTCTATGTAGATACCTGAGAAGAGACAGGGACTAATTAGCTGCCATGCACATTTCTAAAGAGAGAGAGAGAGAGAGTGTGTGTGTGTGTGTGTGTGTATGTGTGTATGTGTGTGAGCGTGTTTAAACATTGGATCAGTCGACTAATCTCCTGGGCTTTCTCCATCAAACATGACCTTTAGCCAAACAAAACTCACTAAGCCCAGAACCAACATCACTTCTCTCCAGTGCTCAGAGGTCTGCATACATAGTGTGTGTGTGTGTGTGTGTGTCTGTGTATGTGTGTGTGTCTGCGTGTGTGTGCAGTCTTACCATCAGGTACGAGGGGGATCTTGTTCAGGTAGAAGCGCAGGTTACGATACTCGTTGGGTTGTCGGGACTTTTTATAATTCTGCACACAAACAGTAATGCGATGACACAACATGTCAAAGTGTGTGAACAAGAGAGAGGAGGCCATGTATAGTTTATCTACATTTTTGGGGGCACGTGTATGCGTGAGCGTGCACGTACTGGGTAGCTGTGGCGGTATTTGTAGAGGTCCCTGGCGGCATAGAAACTCCTCTTCATCTTTGGAAGAGACTCCGGGGAGTCAGTCAGCTGAGAGCGGAAGTAAGAAAGAAAGACAGACAGAAATGGAAAAGAAGAAAATAAAAAGAAAATGAGGGGGGGAAAAAAAAAACCTGGTTCAAATGCAGGTCTGACATAAAAACATCCCATGTCTGAACAGATGCAGTGCAGCACTCATCTGCCATTCAGCTGAATTAAAAGCACTGACTGTGCTTTTGAGGTCGAGGGCTGTCATCATCCATTTCTTTCCAGCAAAGGAGGACAATTCACATCAGCGCTGCTGTGCAATCGCTACAAAAGGACAGCAGAAACTAGATCTGATTCTCAAATCTAATCTGGGTCATGCTAACTTCCACTGGTCAGAAAGGCTTGCAGTGTTCCACTGGGTCTGACTGTGTTAGAGTCACCTTTAACATCCACTGCACGGTGAATAAATCAGACTAAAACTCGGGTGTCATTCTGTTGAACCAGTGTAGCATGTTTGTCTGTGTTAACCTGATCAGTAACATCACATTACTGTCTGCAAACTGTAACTTTAGAGGACAAAAGGTAAATGTAGGAGAAGTCTGGTTTAACCACATTGAAATAATGGCTCCAGTTTCTACAACCTGCTAGAAGTTGCTGTTTTCACAATTATATAACAATGTACAGTGGTTTAATGATGATCCAGTCAACTACACTGAACACTGAGGCCACGTGGATCATATTCATTAGTTTAACTTTATAAGCATGCAGGCAGAGTGGAGTAGATTTAATTAGCTGTCTTTAATACTTAACAAAAAAACAATCACGTGTCTTGAGTGTTGTTTAAATGACACTATGTGCAGGTTGATCATCAGCACACTGGTCTGACAGCGGCTGATGCAGCTCATCCTCACTTTGACAGCTGTGTGTGCGCAGCGGTGGCGAGCAGCACACGATCACGAAAGTTCACACCACGTGACTGCATATCTTTGCCTATTACCAAGGTTACATCAAATTGACACATTTTTGAATGAAGTTTGGCGTCAGCTGCATGCATCGGGGCTACTCGGCCGTCCTTTACTGCGTCCTGGCCTGGTCGGTTACCGTGCTGCCGGTGGCACACACGCCTCCCCTGCTTCCCCCGTTATGTCACCAAACCCTCACCGTACCTGCGGGGACGAGTCTCCGGCGTGTCCCGCGGCCCGCTCGCTCTCCGCCGGGCTGACGGAGTCGGAGATGCCGCTGTCATCCTCAGCCGCCGGCTCGTCGCTCTCCGAGTCGGATCCCCACGTCGAGTCGCATTCCTCCACGGTGCTCGGCTCCTTGAAGCGCCAGCTGCCCACCAGATTTCCCATTTAAAAACATGCAACACCTGCCTTCTTTTATTATCCTCTTCGTTTCACTAAATGCTACATATTTGTGCTCCCAGCCTCGTGTTATTTTTGTTTTTTTGCGTGCCAGAGCAGTGCACTCACTCTGCCCTCAGAGAGGAGCGTTTAAATGGCAGAAAAGGGGGAATTTCCAGATCAGCAACGATGATGCGTGTTTCTGTATGGCAGGTGATTAGTGCCACAGAGAGGCAGGAGGCGGTCTTAAAGCTACAACATCAACAATCAAGCCTCTTTATGGTGTTAAAGCATCATCAATAAACCTGTAAATCTGTAGTGATTGAATGTGTCAGTTTTATTTTTATTTTATTTTTATTTAACCTTTATTTAACCAAGTGAGTCCCATTGAGATTGACATTCAGTGGTTAACTAGTTTTTTAAAAAAAAGCTAAAAATATAAACAAGTCTGAGCTTTGACTGAATTCTAACTAAACAAGGCTTACTGCAATCACAGAATGCAGCCATACGGCCATCATTCGAGCACGCCAATGTTACTTAAGTCAAGGTTTCATTTTTTCAGTTTTTTAGATCTCACTTTGGTGATAAGGGACACAGAGATTTGCCCTGTGGGTACACTGAAACGTGTAATGTGCAGGCCATTCATGGAGCGACTGCTTTAACACTATGCTTCAACTGTAATCAGTGAAAGTGGCTGCACCAATCATAGGACCAGCATGCATGTGGTGCACAATCTATTGCACAGAAATGAGTCAGTAAGTGTGTGTGTGTGTGCACACACACAAGCATATACGTATATATTAATCCAGTATACAGGAAAGGACTACTTTGTATCAAACAGAGCTTCCACTTTGCATTTTCTTTTGCGCTTATGTTACATGTTCTCTGTAGCCATGGAATTATTGTATTTAAAAATCTGCCTACCTGTTTCCTATCCATAGCGCAATACTGTGTTCATTTTGCACTGTACAGTAGAGCTGTTCGTAATTGAATTTAGGTTGTTGTTTTCTTTTAGGTGGATAAAGAAAAAAAACAACTCTTGGACCTAAGGGGTTAATGTTAAAAAGTTTATTTAGATTTTTTTGAAGTGGAGTCATATGAGGTACTTATCCCGTAAATGGTCGCCAACATGTCACGTTTGACAAAGCCGATGAAGAAAGCAGAGCGATGTACTGTTGTGCTTTGGGTGAGCAGCAAAATATATTCTAGCATAGACTGTATTTAAAAGACAGGCATATAGGGCTCGTTTGCTAGTTTCAAGACTTAGAGAATACAGCATTATGGTCCCATTCAGAATAAAATAGACAATAAAGTAGGGATGTTTTAGGGTGGCAGCACGGTGGCCTCACACCCTAGAAGGTACTAGGTTTGAATCTTGGCCTGGGGTCTTTCTGTTTGGAGCTTCCGTGTTCTCCCCGTGCAGCGTGCGTTCTCTCCGGGTTCTCCGACTTCCTCCCACTGTCCAAATGCTGAGGTTAATTGGTGATTCTAAATTGTTTGTAGGTGTGAATGTGAGTGTGCTTGGTTGTCTGTCTGTCTGTGTGGCCCTGTGATAGACTGGTGACCTGTCCAGGATGTACCCTGCCTTCACCTTAAGACAGCTGGAATAGGCTCCAACCCCTCCACGACCCCATTGTATAGATATGGTCTTCTACTGTATAGATAATGGATGAGTAGATGTTTTAGGGTGTGACTACCTTGACAGGTACTGCATCGCAATGTGTAGTTAGATCCACCTCACGTCCATTACAGCTTATTTCAAAAGAACAAGAACTTTGGCAATGGCCAGATTCCAAACTGGGGGCTTTAAATGCCCAAACCAGTGGGTGGTGTCATGTTTTCTGTGGCTTTAGTCATTTAAAAAGGCCCAGTTAAAAAGTATCTGTCAGATTGAATGCATGCTGTACATGGAATATTTACCTCGCTTTATCGACAGGGAACTTAAGCCATTATCATTGATGTTCTCCTCAAAATCACCAGAGTCCTTTGACAGAAACAGCAAATTCACATCACGGAAAAATGTGACATGATGGTCAACCGCTGGTTTGATTGGTTAGTTAGTTTGTTTGTTTGTGTTTTGAAGGTTTGTTAACGTAATACGCTGGCTATGGATAAATGCCTCATATAAACCCACTTAAAGAAAAACAAACTACACCTTTTACGTGGCCCTGTGGCAATATGGTACATATGATTTTTTCTCTCTGACTTTTGACTTTTTCAGGAGATATAGTTTATTAGTAGAGATTCATGTTCGCACTCAGGCTGTGTTTATAATGCTCAACTGAACTTGAAGCTCTTTTCAAACTAACTACCTTAGCATCGAAAAAGAATGCCTAAATCAACCCCTAATTACGTGATTTCCCTGAATGTAGTTATGTCACACATTCCTCTTTTATTCTCAGAAGGCACTAATACTATTTGTAATCAAATATTTCCACCTTCCAGCTGACAGCCTCCTTTTCTGGTGTGGCATTAATCACCTCCTATACAGAGTCAGCATCAGTACCAGAGCTGTGTCACGTGATCCTGGGACAGAGATTATCAATGTCACTCAGGAGCTCAGAGAACCTGTGAGGGCTCATAAATGCTCCCATCCTCATCGCTCCAAGTGACATAAGTGATACTGCACTTTTATAGTGTCAAGGTTTTACCTCGATGAAAGATAAATGTAAATAGTTGTCTTTTTAACTTTGCAAAAATAGGCTTGGACATTGTTTAAAAGAATTACATTGACACACACACACACACACACACACACACACACACACACAAATGGAGTAAAAATTCTCAGTTAAAGTCAGATGTCTATTTTAAGGTGTCAATTTCTGCGTTATTTGACAGAAAATAGAAGATTTGTATTATTAATTTTTCATGAGAACTCTGACTGACCTAATGAAGCACATGGTATTAGGAAACAGGAATTTCCCGTTCTGTGGCTGTGCTTGCACCTATTTGTTTCTTCTCATGACACAGTAGCTGGAAGCTCTGAGTGGTTCCTTCTTTCATGATCTTGCCAGACAAAAATCCTGCTAATCCAGATGACTGGCCTTTCTGTTGTCATTTTGGGAGTTTCCATGAACACGTGGGAGATGAGCTGATAGACGTATTGATTTCCTCCAGTGGATCACACAACAAGTTGTCATCACATCATTTCAAGTAAACCCAAAACCAAGAAAAAGGAAACCAGTAAAGCAATATTGGGGCTGATATCAGCATTATACCTGTGATGGATATGAGGCTGCTTGATTACATACTTATTGCAAAAGTACTGTAGTAAGTTACATTAAAGTAAACAATCATATTGTAATTAATGACTGTAAAACACTATATTGGTTGTACAAGGAGACTTCAAAGTTTTGATTCAAATATTGTAGCATTGCATGGATATATATATATATATATAACACTAAGTTTTTTATATTAAGAGTTTACTAGTGGTAGGAAACACATTGACTCATGCACAATACTTACTGCAGTTATGAGGTATTTCATTAATTTTAGGGATATTTCACTACATTTCAGAGGGGAATAATGTAGTCTATAGTCTGTTACAGAAGGTCTGCTTTCCAGATTAAGATCTATGGTTAAAAAAAAAAAAAAAAAAGATGTATACGTTTACAAAACAGAACACAATATTCAAACCAGTGGTTCCCAACAGTTTGTGGCTCGTGATTCTCTTCCAAAAGGTTCAGTTGGATCAACTTGACACTTTTAAAGTGTCTATGATTTGTTATCTTTCTCACACAGAGGAATTGCCCTTTAAAACTTCCCTAATGGTTTCACTGAAAGTATATATTTTATATATATAGGCCAAAGCAGGACAGATTATTAAACATATATTGCAAAAAAAGTCACAAATTATAATAAAGTCAGAAACCTAGTTTTTTCTTTCCTCTCATTCATGATGCCATAGCCTCTCAAGATTCGTCTTGTGACTCTGTAGATGGGACACAACCCCTAGGTTGTACACCACTGGAATAAATCTCCAAATTAGAATATTTAAAACTAGCTTCACCTTCTTAAGTAGCCCTTTAGATGCCGGACTTGTGTAATGAATTAGGCGAGTGGTTGCACTTTTTAGTAAAGGCCCTGGTATCAGCATAGCTTGTTAGTTCAAAATAAAACTTTGCAGGAATAGAATTACAAACAACTTTAATGCAAATATATCAGCTTCGACCTTCAAAAGCACGTCCAGCCCTAGCAGGTGTTTTTGATTTTGTTAAGCCTGTGTGTTGGCTACTGTTACACCGGGAGGAGGACTCACCTGGAGGGGAAGCTGCAGTTCTTGGCAGCGTGAATGACACCTGTGACATTGATGCGACTCTGATCATAAGGTCTGTCCGGCCCTCCAGCTGCTGCGCTGGCTGAAACAAATGTAAAATTGCGTCACTGAGGTCAGGGCAGAGACATTTTGTCGGTCGAAAGAAACGGTCTGTGAAATGTGGAAATCGAATGAAACTGCGGAATGAGGCAATCGAGAGTCAGAACCACTCAGTGTCATTAGTGTGGTTTCTGTTGTGTCAGCAAATACAGGAACTGGAGTATTCAAATGGCAGTAACAGTGCAGGAAATTTTATACGAGATTATATTTAGATTAGAAACAGCTAGATGGAGTAGAACACCTCACAAGCAAAAACATCTGAATGCTTCATGTTTATCTTTGGTTTTATTCTGGGTCTAATTTGTCTATAAATTGAAGAGAAGGTTCAGTATTGTGGAGGCTGTAGGTCTAGATCTCCCCACCAGCAAAACATGGCCACAGCAGAACTCTCACAACCATGAATCAGTTATTGTTGGTGGTGGAAAATCACAGTATCAGATGGCCACTAAAATCTCATCAACGACCGCACAGATGTGTTTTGAAGCTGGCTGTTTCACTATATACGTCAATCTTTTCTTGATCTTAAGATTGCCTGTGAAGGTATTGGCATTTCATGTGACTATGAGCTCCAGGAGCCATATGTGACAATACAGAGGTACCTTTATGGCTTTATTGCTCCCACATTAAATCAGTCACGGAGGAGTTCTCTGCCAGTAAGCACGTTATTGCTTCCTCTGAAGTGTCCTGGCAACGCTATACAAGAGTCTGTCACTGTGCAGCACGAGGGTCATTATTTCACAGTATGCAGAGTATGCTTACACTGCTG